GGACCCGAGCTCAGAGGATGAAAGAGACCACCCATGGAGGGTGAGAGGGGAATTTTTTATATATATATATATATATTCTTTTACATAAAAAAAATAAAACAACTCTATGACCATGTTTTTTTTAATTAGCAGGGTTTTAAACAACAATAACAAAAATCTACAGATTATTTGTTTAAACATGATTGAAGACTTGAAACCTATAGACTAATGGTATGATCATGCTGATTTTCTGGAATGTGTGTATGTGCATTCCAATAGTTGGAAAATCCAAGGGATGAATGTTAAGCCAGAGCTCAGAAGAAAACATTTTCATAAATGAAATATTTGTTTCCATATTTGTTAAACATGAGTAAGTGCTGGGAGCAGTGATCAGTAAGTAGACAAGAGTTTTCCATCAGAGTCAATCACTTTAACAATTACCTGTGGTTCTATAAAAGAAATAACTGTGAATGCAAATACATTGTTTGATGTTGTAAATATGTGCAAACACAAGATAGAGAAAATTTTATATTATAAATTACAGTATCGGAAAACCGACTTTCTATGAAAATGATCTTACAGCGAATCTAACCAGCCTCATGAACTGATCATGTGCCCTGCTAGTAGCTGAATATGATATCAATTTACTATGCAGCAACAACTACATTATCCTTGCACATAACTCACAAAATTGAATGTATGAATATGACCTGCTGGCTTCCAGAACTTTCCTTGTGAAAACCAGAAATGAATTCTTGATTTCTTGATGAACCTCATGTATTATGCACAACAACTTTTTGATAGAGGTGAAGTTTCAGTGGATCAAAAACCTCAGTATAAACTAAAATCTACATCAAGAATTTAAATTAGTCTGCTGTGTAATGATGGACTGTTCAGCCACTTAGTATGACTTATGATATCTCATAAAGTACCTAATAAAATAATATAGACCTCTGTTCCTGAAAAAGAAGCTAAAATACTTTTTTCTGTGCAACTGAAATACTGTATAGGTGGTGTTTAAATAAGTGTAAATATAACTTTCAGTCATTTCAATACATTTTATCAAAAGTTAATCTGTTATCTTAATGAATACATATGAAACATTCCTTTATGAAACAAAAGGTATATAAGTGATCTTTAATGGATAAAGGGGGAAAAAATCTTACCAAGTCGGCGTGTCTTCTTCTTAAGGTAAATAAGCGTCCCACCAACGGCTGCAATCACAATCAGGAGGGTGACAGCAGCACCAATGACGACGGGCATATTTCCATTGTCTTCCACAATAATGTGATCTAAAACAAAACAAACTTCATATTTTTAGTTCACTTTTAGTACTTCTGTTGATTTTAATCCACAGATTACTATAGACATAAAATGTTTGTATGTCTATAGTTTAACCCATTTCAACTATAGATATACAAATAAAAAACACATTGGTGTTAAAAACTATTTTACAGTTTACATATTTATATTTATCATTGTTTTCTCTCAGATTTAAGAGTTTCAGATCAAACAAATTTTATTTTCAAAGATAACCACAGTAAATATAAAATGCATTTTTCATTAGTAAAGTCATGAGTTAATCCTCTTTGCTGCCAAACCTGCACAGTTAAGTAATCACTTAAATAGAACCTGCCAGACAACATAGAGAGAAGTAGACTAAAAGATCTAACAAAGAAAAAAACCAACCCATCATTTCCTGATCTAAAGAAATTAATCACTAGAATATTTTAAATTCTAAGATTTTTCTGAGATTTCTCTTAAGTATGTACGATAAAAGTTATTCACAAAGCCCCTCACCCCTTAAGAGAGTTTGTAACATGACAAAATGTTAGAAGTAGTGAAGGTGACTTTTAGTGAGCCTACGAGTGTCTTAAGCAGGGAAAATTGTGGAAAACCGACAGAAAAAATGCAGATAAACTGGATTGTTTCTTCTATCAACCAATCACAGCACCTAAAAGGCAGTGTTGCCCTTAGCAACCAGGTCAACCACAGCTCCAAACCAAGTCAGAAATTTATGTCATTGTAATTTATGAGCTAGCTATTAAGACATCATTTAGTATGATGGGAGTCGGATAGGAATTGAACTTTGTCGACCAGCCAACAACACTGCTTTGATTTTAAATAAACAAACTGATAAACGAGAAGTGCAACAAAAAGTTTCTCACCCCATTTCTCTTCAACATGCATTGTAGAGGCAGGATGGTTAACTTCACAGGTGTAGACGGAAACGTCAGACTTCAAAATCTCTACATGATCTCTTCTCTGGAAGGTGTTGTCGTTATTTGGGCGAACTCCAGTGGTCACCAACCCGTCCTCTAGAGTCAGGACACGTCCATTTCTTTTGATATTCATTTTGATGTCCTTTGGTAGGAAACCCGTAGCCAGACACGTCAAAATTGTGTTAGTCTCAGACCTGGCTTTACGAGTAAACAAATCCACCTTAGGTGGAGCTGGTGAGAGAAAAATGGAAAAGTTTGTTGTAGAATAGACAATATATATGGCAGAAATTTTGAACCAATGACATTTTCATAGTCATATACTTTCATTCATGAGATCATTTAAGCACCTAAAACATAAAAGGCCTTTTTTAGTAAAGTTTCTCTTTAAAAGTACACCAGAACAGAAGTTTTAAAAGAGATGAATTTTTTGTTTGACTTTGTTCAGGAAATTATTTTTAAGCAAATCTGAGATAAGCATATTGTTGGAAGAGAGCATATAAAAAAAAATAAACAAAAACATTAAAGGCAAGAAAATATATACACACAGGCTTTTAAAAGCTGCTCTTTCCCAAAGTCTCTAAACTTGGCCATCCATTCCATGCACTCCTTCTCCAGGTAGCCCTTGGTGTATTCCTTCAGCACCTGGACCTCATCCCACTTCCTCTTGGTTTCTACTGCTGCATGAATTGGAGCAACCCAAACCTGCTTGTTGTCATCAAAGGACAGAAAGTCGCTTCCGTCATAGTTGTACATGTCCATCCCACGGACAAACTTCATCGTGCCATCAGGCTGAGTTTCACCCTCACAGCCATGCATCCACTGAAGAATATGGGTGTCTGTAAGAAAACACGAGATAAAAAATTAATTATACATCAATAAAAAATAATTTTAGTCATAAAAAGATTTAGAGAATTAATAAACTGCTATATCTTGTTGCTGTCGTAAGAATCTTGACATTTAGATGGGACATGTGTTTGCAGTAGTCACAACTTTAATGTTTTTATTACTGACTTTAGGTATCCTAAACTCCTTGGATCTCACCTGTGTTATTCTGTCTCATTCGTTTCATCAATATGTCGATGTTGACCTTGAACCATTGCTGTTTGCTCTTTCTGGACTGGGTGCCTTTCTCCCAGTACTCTGGTTCAAGATGCTGTTTCATCCAGTCCTGTTTGGGAACTTTAACTTGGTTCTCACTGTCATAGTAGTCGATCATACTGTTATCCAGTAAACCCATAGCAGTGAACTCATGCAGCCCCGGGAGATTCACTGGTTTGGAGAAAGCCGTGTAGATGTAGGTGAGGGAATGTTTTTCTGTAAGATAAAAGACAGAAAAATAAATTGTGTAAACCCTGAAATTATCATTTAGGTGAAACTGGGGTCAAAATCTTTGGCTCAAAATGCTCCTGGTATTTAGCCTTTTTTCAATTTGAGTTTAGACATTCATAATACTTAATATTTTGTTTGTAGTTATTGTTAAAAAAAAAAGTTTACTCTTTCAGAGAGGGAGAGAACAAAAAAAGAGTAAAACAGATGTACTATACTGCTGGGACAAAACACATACACAAAAACCCCAGTCTTGATGGCGCTCATGTCAAAACCATCCCAGTAATGCTGTCCGACCACATTCAGCCAGACTGCCCCACCTTTAGGCTGTTTACCTGGAACTATCAAAAGAACTGATGTCTTCCTTGAACATTTTATGTAATGGTGAACAATATTTGTTGGGTTGAAGTTTAAATGTATATTTTTTAGTCTCGTACATGACAAATCTGCCATAACCATTCTACGCGTCTTAATGTTCCATTTTCCAAAACATCATTAAATAAGTCGGAGATTAGAGCTCATTTACTAATTTCGTTTAAAATTTTCACCTTTTAAAAATTTTAGGCTTTTATTAACCATCCACCATCAGCATTCTTAACACTTTAACATTTAACATTAACAAAGGCGAGGTTTAGCTGAACTTTCTGGATATCTGGGATGATAAATCCTCCACATATGATTCTGGTTTCTAAATTATGAACTAAACACACAAAGCTAAATATCAACAAACATATATTCCAAGTTTAATAGAACAATATATTGAGTTACTAAGACAAATGTTACAAGCTGTTTTACTTTCACTTTAACAAATGCACTTAAAATTGCCAAATTAAAATTAGAAGAAGAAAAAAAAAAACTTACCGCAGTTGACCATCATTCCCGTCCCCAAAAGGACAAAAACAGCCAGGAGCGACATTCTGAACCCAAATTAGGTTCCTCTCCTCGGGGTGAACTACTTATGTCCGGCTGTAGGACGTTTCTCCTCTCAGTGTTTGTCCCAAAAGCTCACCTGTTAGACTGGTTCTGATTCTTGATGTTGCGTTACTCCTTCAGCTCTGTGCCTTTAAGGACCGTCGTAAATCAGAGAACTTTTTTACTTCCTTTAAAATCAACATAATTTTCAACCACTTGCACATCTGCCACAAAAATAAATAGCAATAGAAATTAAACACGGTAGAGCAGCTGTTTTTCAACACATGCCACTTTGATCAAAGACTTCAAGATTTTGCATTAAAATATATTTTATTGAAGATAAACAACCATAAGTCACTCCAAACTGTATACATTTTTCTAGCAACAAACTTCTGTTTTCGTAGAAGTCAACTAAACCACAATCAAAAAAAGATAATTCATGGATGACAAAAATCATAAAACTGCAAATCTTAAAACATTCAGATTCAAAGCTCAATTTTAAGCCTAATTTAGCAAAATTATAATTAAAATTAGAATCAATAAATAATTATGAAACAAAAAATGGCAGTTTGCAAAATGTTTTGGGTTTAACTGCTACAATATTTCAGTTCTCCAAAATTGTATTGCAACCAATTATCAACCTGTGAATATTTTTCCTCATTTATTAACATAAAAACAATTAAAAAGACAAAGAACCCAAAACACCCAAGTAATCTACAGTAAGACACAAGTAATTGAAAAACACACAAAATTAAATTTATAGTCAATTAAAAACATTTTCAAATATCTCCAAACAAATACAGATACATTTGAGTTTGACAACCATTTTTCAAAATCCTTTTCTAATTGTTGTCTTATTAAAGTGTATCCAAAACAGGTTTGTATTTATTTCTTTACAAGTTCACATATATTTGATGCACTTTCATTTTATAGCCATTTTGGAACCAGATTCATCTCGATATGTACAAAAATAACAAGAGAGAAACTTATTAAAATGGATAAAAAGCAAACATGGTTTGAGATAATTAAGGCAATATGAGTTAAAATAGGATCTCAGATTTTTTTCATACACCATCCGATTTTAATGTATTTTTCTCATTTCTTTTATTAAAAAGGCATTACAAATTAAGCTAAGTATTTTCAAAAACTTGCTTTTATTTCAATCATCCTTTCTGGGAGTGGACCTGGCCTGACTAAAATACAAGCGGTAAAACAAGATGTTTGGCACTCGGTGGGCTGATTTTTCTGAATTACAGAAACCCAAAGAGTACATCGATTACACAAAAAAAAAATCCAGATCCAAAAATAGAAAATTGGATTACTCGATCACATTGATTTATTGTCCAGCCCCAATAACAATAATTACAATTAGCTTTCTTTGGTACTTAAATATCATTATGATTGGATATGAAAACATAAAAATTGTAAAATGTGGCTCATTTGCTTTTATATCAGAAGCAGTTTAAGTCGACAGAGTTCAGGCTCAGAAGAAATGTTCCGATTTACAGAGAGCAGTGAACGCTCCACCATGTCTTTGAAGATGGGGTTGTTTTTACAGTTAGCTACTTCCTTGTATTGTGTAGCAATAATAAGCTCATGGCGCACGTTTAATTTCTCTTTTTGTGGAGAACTTTAAATGTTCCTAGAAACTAAAGAGTTTATTTGAAACGTTCCACCCATCTAAACCAAATCGGATTTTACTCCTCTAATCTGGCTGCTAAAATCAGTCATTAGTCATCAATTCAGTTAGCCAAATTGTGTCATTGTTTGCTACATTTATCATATTTTACATCTGAAATGCATGACCTCGTTAAAAAATATATAATTAATAAGCTTATTCAAATTTTAGTACTTTAAAGTTTCCAGGAGCCCATTTGAATATTTAGCATTACCGTATTCAACATAAACTGTTTCTTTCCTTGAGTTTTAGTTTCCTCAACTGTATGTACTGACCAAGTTACTTATCTAATGTAACAAACCTCAACATATGGAAACATAGGTTATTCAATTATGTGATTGACCTTGAATATCTTTATATATCCGTAACACATTTACTGTACATTATAAAGTGATCTAAAACTTTCTGAGCTACCATCATAGAGTAATGTTCTGAATTTTCACTCGATAGTAGAAAAACCACAACCATAGTGAAGGATGCATTCCTGTTAGTGGTTCTGCATTTGAATATGTTTGAAGCATATATACCGTATTTTCTGCACTATAAGGTGCACCTAAAAACCTTCAATTTTCTCAAAAGCCGACAGTGAGCCTTATAAGCCGGTGCGCCTTATATATGGACCAATATTGAGCCACAACAGGTCTAACAACTACGGTAAGCAGACGCCGACTTCATTTTCCCCCGTAGAAGAAGAAGCGCATGGTGCATACTGGGATAGTTGTCAGAACGCTGGTTTGTAATCTATTAATAAAGTTTGACTGACCTATCTACCTACCGACCGTCTAGAATCAGGTCGTCTGCAGGTCATTTAGCACCACGTTCTCCACGAACATGCTGTGGGCGAATGGAGAAGGGTGACCATCGTCCGGCCACTCCCCGGCCCAGTTGCGAAAGGCTCTCCTTGCTGACTGGAGTCGGACTGTTTTGTTGACATTCCCGTTAATGCAGCTCCATCTAGTAGATGCATAACGCAACTCCAGCCTCTACTGTAGCGTCTATTCTATGCGGCTTATAATGCGGTGCGCCTTATATATGAAAAAATTTTTAAAAGAGGCCATTCATTGAAGGTGCGCCTTATAATCCGGTGTGCCTTATAGTGCAGAAAATACACATATACATGTAGAAGTGAAATGTAACCCCATAAAGTGAAATGTAACCCCATAAAGTGAAATGTAGCCCCATAAAGAAGTGAAATGTAACCCCATAAAGTGAAATGTAGCCCCATAAAGAAGTGAAATGTAACCCCATAAAGAAGTGAAATGTAGCTCCATAAAGAAGTGAAATGTAGCCCCATAAAGAAGTGAAATGTAGCCCCATAAAGTGAAATGTATAGCCCCATAAAGAAGTGAAATGTAGCCCCATAAAGTGAAATGTATAGCCCCATAAAGAAGTGAAATGTAGCC